TGCTTCCGCCGAAAGTAGAAACGGCTTTCCATTTTCATTAAACCAGTCCATATAGTTATCCGTAACCATATGACCAATTTCAGCGTAATATTGTCGAGGGGCCAACAGTGTATATCAGTTCTCCCAAAGCGCAATCCAATCTCTGTGTCTCACCACCCAGTTAACATCTTTCTTTCCTCGTCTATCTATGTTATGCACGTCGTCTAAATTCCTAGGTGCTCCAGGAATATATTGCGTACAACCATACTGACGGAGCACGCGATCAACTGGATGCCACTCAATAATAGCATAACATATATATAAGAGGTATAACCGATATCCATACCTCTAATGACCCACTAAGGTGAGGTGGGAAGCAAGCTTTCACTTCATCGCTCGCATAAGGTATCCACTGAAACTGAAATATAAATATACAATTCAAATAAATAAAATATTCTAATTATATCTAGCATTTTAAATTAAAATATTAATAATTAAACAAATTTAAAAACATACCTCAGACCCAGCTTTCGTATCAATAAGTAAACGAATTTCCTCTAACCCAGTAGGTATACTTTTATGGTCATTTCTTTTCATCGACCACCTATGAAATATAATATAAACTAAATATCACCTTATTTAATTGAAAATATTTAAATCAAAATTTAGTTCGAAAATTACCTCAACAATAAGGGGAATACGTATGGTTCATTCACGATCGGGCATAAGAAAGGCATGCGGAACCACGCCCATGATTGTAGAAGCAGAAGACATCCACCGATAGCAGTTTTCTTATAATTCGTCGCCCGACACATTTCTCTAAAGAGAAATGCCAAAACTGCAGCGCCCCAACTATATCTTCCAGCTTCATCAAAATCGATCAGATGCCGCAACCACATACAATGCACCTGGTTACGAGATTTGTCGGGCATCAATATTCCTCCAATTATTCGTATAATATATGCCCAAGCACATGCCTTTGCTTGATCCTCTGAAGCATTTTTATTTAAAACCTCAAATTTAGCTTTCAACCAAGATAAAGCTATTCTACCTCCATTAAACTCTGGCGGAGCAGCTCCAAGATAATCAATGCACATTGATTGCCAATCACCATCCGCCATACCACACATCATATTTCCGTCGACGGGAAGCCCCAGATGCATAGAGACATCCTCCAATGTAATTGTGGCCTCTCCACATGGAGGGTGAAAAGTGTGTGTCTCGGGCCTCCACCTCTCAATCAGTGCAGAAATTAGGACAGGTTCGAGTTTGCAACCGCCTATAATTGTTGCAATATACCCGAACCCGGCAGAAGCCAAATATGGCAAAATACGTTCCGGTGTCGGTATACGTGGATTTTTAATAAAAGTCTCTAAAATACGATCAGTATCCTAAATAATATACATTATAAAAAATAAAAATTAATATAAATTCATAATAACTTTAAAATAAAAATAAATTTAAATATTAACATTAATTATAAAAAATATTACCATATCGCTAAAATGTCTGGAGATATGATCAATATCCAATCGTAACAGCATTTCGTTTTCCATTATAACTGTAGACAAAACAATATAATTAGCAAAAAAAAATTAATAATTCTAAATAAATAATAATTATATAAATATTATTTTAATAAAAAAAATAATATTTACATAAATATATTAATATAAAAAATAATAACTATTTAAAAAAATACTAACATAAAAATAAATTTCTTACCACTAATAAAAAATTTAAAACTCAAATAGTTGGAGAATTTGAGTTATATAAGAGAGGAGAATATGATTTTGGTGTGAAGAATGAGGGAGGGTTGATGGGGTTTATATAGGGGAGGATGAGGGGTAGTTAAGAAAAACGGATGGGGGCATTTATGATATTTTATGTAAGGCGCGTCCCCGGGGATGCGCCTTACATACGTGGCAGTCGAGCTGGCAAAAGGCGTGTCCCCGGGGATGCGCCTTCCATACGTGGCATCCAACTCAGCGAAATCACAGGTAAAGCACGTCCCCGGGGACGCGCCTTTGCCAGCTCAGTAGAAAGGGTGCTACTTCAAAAAATATTAGTCAAACGGTGTCAGAAAGGGAATATTAAATGAAATTGGTGTTCAAATAGCCGAGCATGGGTGTTACCATGTTTTTTTCTTTTTCTTTTTCATTTTTTTCATGTGAAATGGCGATTTTAGCCTCAAGTTTTCTAGGGAAAATATTGGGGGAAAGTTTGTTGTTTTAGGTCACTAAAAGGGAACGAAAGCAACAACCTTCAACAAATGGTGGGCTGAGAGTGAAGTGAAGTCTCAACAAAGTTTGGTTTAGATTTCCACCTCTACAAAGTTACCTTTAACGATTGGTCAATTTTTTCTTAGAATTTTCTAAATATATTATTTATTTGTGAGATTAGTTTTTTTAATGATTCTTGAGAAGTTTCCAGCAATATTATTATTATTATTAATATAAAATTCAGAATATATAGAGAGGGGTTATAATTCAATTATATAATGTAATATTTTTTAATTTTATATACACTTAGAATCATTGAATTAAATTTTCTTACATATAAAATCATTGATTAATTTTATATACACTTAGAATCATTGAATTAAATTTTCTTACATATAAAATCATTGAATTAATAAAAATAGATGATTAAAATTAACTTTTCTCAATAAATATCTTTTCATTTATTCTCATTAATTTCAATCATAATACTTCAAAGAATAATCTTTAAAAAATAAGGTAATTATGAAAATTGTCTTGATGTATTGGGAATGTGGTTGGCAATTTCAGTCTCAGTTGAGAACCCAATTATTAAGCAACAATACACTTCATATTGCAATCTATGAAAAAAAATGGTTGAATGGATTTGCCATGCTGTTTTATGTCATTATATATCATTGCATGACAGACAAACAAGGAGAAGTGATACCAAATATTCTTACACCATCATCTCATATGAATATAAAAAAAAACGTCTTTATTTTTTCTATATATGTGGATGAGTGATTTTAGCTAAATCAAAGGGTCTGAACCTAGTTTTTCCAGTAAGTGATATATTTATGCATTTTGTCTGCACCATTAAAACCCTAATAATAAACAATGCATGACATTTTTTAATACAAATAAATGAAAATTGCTGCAGTTATCCATAAGATGAAGGCTTCCCCTACCATGTTATCAACTGTAATGTATTATTACGGGAAGAAATTATCTTAATACTCTTTCTCATCCATAAAATTTAAACTTTACATCTTAAATAAAGGATATTTATAATTGCTTATCATTCGATCTAATAAATCGAAATATGTAACTGGGCAGATGGAAACAAGTCGAGGATGGGCAGAACAGAAAGAAAGAAAAGGAAGAGATGTGGGGATTGACATTGCAAAAAAGTAATGGAAATATGAATCAACATCCATGTGCTGTGTGTGTCGACCACTTCTTTTACACAGTGAAGGTAGCCGTTTTCTGGTGTGGAGCTACTGAAAACAGGAGTGGCAATGGTGGAAATTATGTGGCTGCACATTGGAGAGACGGGTTGAAAACATAAAGGAATATCATTTAAGATGTTTATATGAAACGAACAGATGAGCACGTGGCCTAACTTGGGATAGAGACAGGGTGAAAACGATGAATGCATGCCATTCAATTAAGCTACACTCCGTGTTTTGTTTTTGATTAATTATTTTTTCATCCACTCGCCTTCATTTTGTTTGTTTGTGCATGACTTTTTTTTTTACCAGTATGAATAATTATAATACAATGTCTATTTAAAATTTTTCTTTGATAATATATCTTATAAATATAATTATTTAATTTTAAAATTTTAAATAATATATTTTTTTAAGTATTGAAATCACTTGATATTTAAGCACGACTTTCTTTTAACCCTACCCCATGAATTGCAACTCCTTTTGGTTTTATCACATCAATTAAAGCCAAAATTCTTTTCTAAAATAACTCATGTTATTATATGAATAATGATTGGGAGGCGCGTGGACAAAAAACAAGGGAAAAAAAAGAACTCGTGGGTACGAAAACCATGAGCTGCTGAAAGAATCAATTAAGCCAGCTAGGCAGCCTGCCAAAGCTCATGAGAGGGTCTATGGGTTTTTTTTTCTTAAAAAGGAGTGTTTGGGGTTTTGACCAAATAAACTACACACAGAAAAGAAACATATCGAGAGATTAAAGATTAGTAAGTTTCCCTTTAATAAAAAAATCAGGGTTAAAGTAGATGATTTGGCATTCTAAATCAAGCCCTAATTCAAGGTTAAGAAGACAACTGTAATGTCACTAAATATATTGGTTCATAGTTGATATTTGAAGATTTTGATCCAAAAGCATGTGAGATTTCGGCACATGGGGAATCCACAGTCTACTAGAGTCAAGACGGTTATGCTATGCATGGTGAAAAATGTAATAGTTTTGGACGCATGAGAAATCTTATATTTAAATGTTACGGATTTAGGATTTAGAATTCATTGAATGCTCTCAATGATAAAAAATATTATTTTTTAAAGAATTTAAATTCGAATAATTATATATGTACGATGTATATACATTGTTAATAGACTAAGAAAAAATAAGAACAAATTCTGTCTTATAGTCAACACATACTATAAGAAAATGTTACAGACTTCAGAGTCACATCTTTGGGCTTGTTAGGCAACTTATAGGTGATTGGACTGGACCCATGATTCATGACCACTCGATTTGATGTCTGAACCATGGCTTGGCAGTCCAAGCCCTAGTGATCAACATAAAGCAGGTTTAGATGGTTCAACAAAGCACCAAATTGGGATTCTCATTTTATGATCCCAACTGTTCAACTATAAATTCAGGAAAATGAAGAGAGAAAGGGGGGGATGATAGTAATAAATAATAGAAGGGTTGTACTCGAGTATTTACAGTTTCCGACATTATATACAACTTTAGTCAAGTTCCAGCACTATTTTACCAAGGATTACTTTTTTGTCTTTAGCTTCATGAGCCTCTCTTACTTGAGTTATCGGAAATGTTTCTCGACGGGTACATAGCTTCCCGGCTTCCGACAATCTATGTATCTCATGCAAACCTTCCGAGTCTGCTCTCATGTATATCTATGTATATTCATGAATATTCGGCAGCAGATCATTAATGTCATGGGATACGGATCTATACTCCGAAAATGCGGCATTTCAAGGCATGGATTTATTGAAATCTTCGAACTATTAAGCACTTGAGATCGAAATGTTGAAGAAGAAAATCTCAGAATATTGGTCTTTCACCAGTATTCATGATTAAATTGGCAAAATGCATGAAAGATGTATATGACAACAAGCGCTCAAATGTCTTTCGTGGACTGTAGAGCGATATTTCTGCTATGGGGCGACACAGACATGTTTATCGAGATTAAGAAGACAAATAAACTATGTACCTATTCCGTGAGAAGATTTGTATTGAACCCTTTTCTTGAATAACACAGCTGTAGCCACAGGAAGCCCAATTGGTAGTCCATACCTGTCGCTTAGTGCTGCTGCTTCTCCCTACAACGTGGAGTAACAACTAAACATTTGATAATTACATTGCAGAAATCATAAAAATCCCTATGGAAGTTCCCTGCTAGCAAAGCCAGTATAAGCTCTTAAACAGTTTGCACCGGGCTAGGATAAAATTTCAGGCGAACTCCAAGGATTCAAAGAGCTGTAGCTCTCGTTGTGTATCCATAAAAATGAACAAGGAAGGGATTTGAAAGAAAAATGCACCCTTCTAAGAGTAACAAGAATTACGAGGTTCCACCTCTTACCTGAAGTGTCATATAGTGTCCACCTCTATTCAAAAGATTGGTGCCTATTTTTTCTGTCTCAGGCACGCCAATGGTGTCCCGGACAGCATCAAATTTTCCCTTGATTACTGGTTCAATGTCCTGAAAATAAGCATCTCATTGAACTCAAATAAGTAATCTATGTAGGGCAGAGCCAATTAGTAAGCATTCCAAGTAGCTATCAATAGCAAAATAATAAATTGTAAATTATCACTTCACCACCTCGGAAGTATAATCAACAGCCTCCTCGGCACCTGCTGCCATTAGTCGATCTATAATTTTATTTCCACAAGTAGTTGTAACATAGCATCCAGTAGCAACCGCAATCTGAATGGCAGAAAAGCCTACGGCTCCTCCGCCACCTATTACTAACAGCCTTTTCCTGTTGAATGAGAATTCGATAATGGGATGAAAAATTGGAACAGTTGCCCAAAAACTTTAGTAGTAAAATTCAGTTGGCAGATTTTATTGTTATACCCTCAACCAAAAATGAGATTTATGCATGTATAGAGATTCATCTATTGGACAAAAAGAAAAAAAAATAAGAGGCCAAAGATAACGAGCATCAGAATTATTATAAGAAAACCTGGATGGATTATAATTTATGATACAGGAGAATAATGTCTGCGGAACTAGAAATTTCAGATTCGGGAACAAATCCAAAACAAAGCCAAAATATCTGACAACAATTTGTGAAGATTCGGGAAATACACGAAAAACATTGCAGACAAGGATGCGCATTCTAGAGAGTAGAGACAGAAACATACCCTTCAGCTATCCTTGCAGTGCTTTTTAAGGCACGCCATGCTGTCAATGCAGCAAAAGGGATGGCACTTGCTTCCTACAACCAAAAAAAATTCTCAAATTCATGTCACACGACTATAGAAAGTATAAGGATGAAAACAAACAAAATTCTATGGGTCATGAAATCAGATATAGTAAAGAAAAGGCTAGAGAACCACATATTAGACTAGCGATGGCGAGTGAAAAACGGATAGTAGAGTATATTATCACCCACCAAGAGCTAACCAGAGTGAATGAAAAGCAAGTAAATCAAATAGTTCACATAACTCTATTTTTATTCTGAAAACAATCAGATTAACATAAATTTGTTTTTCACAGAAATAAAAACTAATGATTTAATAGGTTACCACATGAGTAACTGAAGCTGGTTTCGGAGACAGCTCGTCCTCTGAAAGAATTGCATAGTCAGTATATGTACCCCTCACAGCAGTTGGATGCAGAGCACCAAAAACTTTCTGCCCGACAGTTAGTGACTTCACTGAGGCACCAACAGCTGCAACTTCACCACTACTATCACGTCCCAAAATGAGAGGCAGAAGCGGCTCAAATATGGAACGACCATAGCCTGATCGCATCTGTGGAAACAGAAATTCGGAAAATTAGGAAAATTAAAGCAAAATAATCTTAGGTGCATGACTTGAAATATGATTTTGGGTCATTTTGTATATATATATATATTTGAAACTTTTGCAACTTTTGAAATTAGTCCACTCAACTCAATTAATTAAAGCAAATTTATACAGTTTCAACATCCGACAACTCAAACATGCATTAAAAAATTACATAAGAAAATCGCTTTAAATTTGTTTATTTTCTTTGCACATTTTCATGACAACGAAATAACCAACTCAACTCTAGATGAATTAAGAAAATTAAATAGAATTCAACCAAATTAAATAACGAATTCAATGAAAATTCCCCTTCAGGCTTCAGCATGCATCATGGAGATTGACTCATATAGCTACTAAATCAACGAAAATAAAATTAAACAAGGAACTAATTTCCGTCTCATTTCATTTTCTCTCGCTTTCCTATGAACCAAACAATCCAATCCAATAAACAATTAAAAAAATACGGTTCCATTAAACGAGAAAAGTTCAACCCACTTTCATTGATAACTCCGAAATGGGTCTGGGTTTTAGGCTTTGAAGTTTGAAAACAGCCATTATTTTTCCCTTTTTTCTGCTCAAATTTTCTGGGTTTCAGCTGCTTTCTTCTGTTAAATGAAAAGAGAGACGTGTAAATGTTTTAGTCACGCAGAGAAAGTAGTTGCTAGTAAAGGCCGGCGATTTTCCCGATATATCACCGTTGAACAGTATATTTTTCGATCATGCACCGTTCATATTATATTTTTTGATCTAACACCCTTTACAAAAAGACGCGCTTCCTGCAATGCGCTTTACACTGATTTGGTGCCACGTGGGGTAAGACGCGCCCCCTGAAGCACGTCTTATGCTGACATTGTATACACATGTGTAAAGGGGTATAGCGAGGTGCAGGGGCCGCTCCTTACCCCAAAATCTGCCATGCGTCACAAAGGCGCGCATACCTCGACGTTTTACACCCCAATCCCTCCCTATAAATACCCACATTTTCAATCACTTTCATCACACCAAATTCTCTCAACTTCTCTCAAATACTCTTATAATCTATGTCTAAGGTACATTTTATTATATTTTAAATATTTTGTATTTAATTTATTTAAGTATTTAATTTATTTAATATTTTACTTAATTAATTTTTTTACAGATATAAAATGGAAGACGGTTTACTTCGCTTGGATGGAAATTATATATCTCGACATTTTGCTGATACGGTAACATTTTAACGTTTTAATTTAATTAAAATTATTGGTAATAATTTGTTGATTTATTTAATGCATGATTATTAGATTAAGAATTAATTTTTGTAATTATTTAATTTTAGGAGAAAGACCGTGTATTAGATCATTTTATTAGGAACCTTAAGTTAGTGATACCTAACTATGTCTTGCCGTATTTAGTAGAGGTTGAATTCAGTTACATAGGTAGATACCAGGGTCACTGTAAGATAGAACCAGACCTTATTTATGCCTTAGTAGAGCGGTAGAGGCTGGAGACCCACACATTCCATCTTTCGTGCGGAGAGTGCACGATTACACTTGAGGATGTTTCTATGCACCTGAAGCTTCCGTTGGATGGAGATGTGATATCGGGGATCGCGCAGGGTTCTTGGACTGCTTTGTGTCGGGATAATCTAGGACGTGTCCCGGAAAGTTTTAACGGTGGTCGGATACCGTTAAATTGGTTAGATGTCAATTTTCGGGAGTTGAGCGATGACGCGTCATATGATGAAGTTAAAATATATGCACGGGCATGCATACTGCAGCTGATAGGAGGGTTGTTGATGCCGGACAAATCGTGCAACCAAATTCACTGTATGTGGTTGCGACATTTTGTCGACTTTTGTCTGGCCAGATCATTCAGTTGGGGCTCGACAGTTTTGGCTTTCCTGTACAGGAGATGTGTCGAGCCACTGACTACAGGCGTAATGCTATCGGCAGATGTCTCCTGCTACTGCAACTTGGGCATGGTAACGATTGCCCTTTTTTATGTCCCGTTGTGGAGAATCCATTCGTATTTCCGCTACTCTTGAGATAATTATAAAACTAATTTCGTATATTAATCATTTTATACAGTGTATAATAATTTTTTCCCTTGAATAGGTGGTCTACTGACAGGAAAAATCATCATGAGCTACTTGATGATTTAGAAAAAATTAGGGTACTAATCGATCACAAGGCTGACACACAGGTATGAATTTTAATGTTTAAAAATCGATTTTAGATTATAGTTATATAATTAGATTATTATTTGATAAAAATTATATATATTTGTTTTAGTTTGAATGGGTGTCATATTCTAATGATGATGTAAGGACGGTGATCCCACCTGAGTTGAGGGGTCCATCAGATGTTTGGATGGCGATGGTCCCTTTGATATGTTATGCGACCGTCGAGTGGCACTCCACTGATCGTGTGCTCCGGCAATTTGGTTGTTTTCAACCAATTCCGGAAGCACTTCGCAATATGGACGAGTTGCATAACACAGATAGACGCGGCAAGACCGATACAGATTGGCTAGTGAGGCATCATGAGTGGGTCGTGTTATGGGAGGATCGGCATCGGCGCCTTCCCCGTAGAGAGCCCATTTATGTTGATGACTTGACGGTTGGTGATGATTATTATGAGTGGTTCAACAGAAACGGGAAACCGTTTCTGCTTCCCGAGGATGCACGAGTGCGGACCTTTCCACGACGTCGACAGAGACGTTCATCGACACATCACCATCGTCCCCTGACTTGTGGATAGAGAACAGGTGCTTCCGGTTCATCCTCAGCTACACCAGTAGAACCTTCACAGCAACCACCGTCTGTAGCAACTTACATACCGCAATCATATATGATGTTGTCATCGCCTTTCCATTACCAGATGCCGCTGTCGCCGCCTTCACTTGGTTTTATGACCCTCCACCGCCACCTTCACAGAGTTTTATAACCCCTCCTAGAGGCTATTATGGGTCTATGTTTGTAGATCCAACTTGGGTTCATATGCTGGATATTTGGCGGGTTCAGCCTCATCACCCATGGCCGCAGCACATACACTTCCTGTACAGTTTTCACACTCAGCGATGTCTGGGTTTTATGAGTTTTCCCAGTTTTCGCAGACCGGTGGGATAGTCAGTCATACACCTTCAGAGTCCTTATTCTATAGAGGTGCTTCATCGTCATCAGCTCATCATCAACAAAATTTAGCTGCTCATGACGATGACGACGACGACGACAACGACGAGGACGATGATGATGATGGTGATGATGATGACAGCGAGGAGTCATAACCAGTGATACGAAGAAATCCTCCTCGAGACCGACAGCCACCGTCCTGCGGAACACATTTGCGTCACAGACATCAATAGATTTTGTTTTTTTTATTATATTTGTATTTAGTACTTTTTATTGTAGTTGTTTATTGGACTTTTTTATTGTAATATTTTTTATTTATCATTTAATACTTACTTTAATTCGTTAATATGGTTGGATTTATTTTAATTTATTTTGTTAAATTTGTTGGACTTTTTGTTAATTTATTTTGCTTAATTTTGTTTATTACCATTTAATAGTAGTTATTGTAATTTGGTTATCATTTACCATTTAATACTTATTGTATCGTTAATATAAGTTATTCGTTAATATAACGCCAACGTCCAATCTCGTATAATTATATCATTTTTTTAATCTTCATCAGCGATTATCGAATAACATTAACTTGAAGTGGACATGTTTTTCTAGTGTGTCCTGGGTTTCTACAATGCCCACATCTTCTGTCTTGTCTAGATCTTTCTCGAATATCCATATCGCAATGAATTCGATTGGATTTTGGACGACCACGCTCCCTCAATAAACTCGGATTTAGTACAATTGAAAGCCAATCTAGAACCTTATCAGGGTCTTTGTCATTACCTATGAGGGGGAACTCAAATTCGTATGCCTTAAAAACTTCAGATAATATGTATATGTGATCCACAAAATGGTTATAGTCTTGACGTGTATGCGAGTAAGCTGCTATCACATGAGAGCATGGATATTTCATAGCTTGAAAAAACCCGCATTCGCACGTTCTATCCCTTAGATTTACTCTTAATGACACAACTTCAATCCCTTGAAGAGGTCGCGGTAACTCTGTGACACGAAACATTTCATGCCTTTTAGAGAAACTTGTTACAGACATCCCATTTGACACAACAAATTTTTTTTTTCTGTAGATCTGCAACTAATCTATGGTGATAGACATGACCGCCTTACATCCAGGTTTGAGCTTGTCCCCCGAGCTTCGTAAAAAACGCCCCAAACAAAAATATATAGTCTTTACCAAAGCCGCTACAGGTAAGTGATGTGCACCCTTTAAGGTTGAATTGATTGCCTCTGCCAAGTTGGTCGTCATGTGTCCATATCGATATCCACCATCATATACATTCGTCCACATTTCTTTATCGACAAGGCTGATGTAATCGTATCATTCCTCGTTATTTGCCCGCAAATCTTGAAGCATTGATTCAAAGATTCAAAGAAGTAGTTTGTAACCTGATCAAAAAATGTATAACTTACTAACCTGATCAAAAGGATCGCGCAGGGTAAATAAACTACATCAGTTTCACTTACCCATGCGCACAAGTAATTGACACTCATCATTCTTCTTGTATATTCCATGGTAGTTCGTAGCAATGTGTCGGAGACAATACCTATGTTGGACAAAGGGTGGTTGCCACATTGGACCCAAAGACTCTATTGCTGCTTTTATCCCAGCTCCACGATATGAAATGACAGATTTTTTCCCTCATAATAACATGTGCACGTAAATTTAGAGAAAAAAAGCCCAAGAATTTGTATCTTCTCCTTCGACAAGAGCAAAAGTAACTTGAAGAATGTTGCGATTGTCATCTTGGACAACTTCCAATAATAAAACTTGCTTGTATTTTCCATACAAGAAAGTCTTATCGATCTGGACCATAGGCTTGCAGTATTTGACAACATTAACACACTGTGGGTAAGTCCAAAAAACTCGGTAGAATTGGCATCGATCGCGGAAAACTCGATCATTATGGTATGCAT